CAGAATGCAGGAAAATCTATCTCCGTTAGCTTACGGCCTAGAGTTGTGACTCTACGGGCATTTTTGTAAAGCATCCTTGATAACCTATCATTCGCAACAACAAAAATCTGGAGGATGAGGGTGGCACGAAATATTGATCAGCAAGTATGGCACTGATGAGTTAAAGAAACATTTTTCCCGATTTTAGTTAGATAGGGAGTCTTTTTTGATAAAAGAATAAATGTTGTATAAAAAAAAATTATTTTTCCGAAAATAAGTTTTTGGTAAAACCTCTGGGTCCCTTACACCGGCTGAAGGTCTGTATAAGGATCTAAGCGGGTCTACGGACGATTTAAATCGTATATTAAATTCGCCCTGGTCGGCATATTTTTCAAAAAAACGATCTATGTTATGATTGTCAGTGTCTGTGGGTCTGCCTGTGTCGGATAAATGTTAAAGGTCGAAGGCCAAAGGTCAGATGTCCATGGGCAAGGGTAAAAGGTTGTAAGCGTTTAAGAGGGGATGGGGGTAAGTGAGTAAAGCTATGAGGGGATACGGTTATGAGGGGGTAAGGGGATCAGGATATAAGGGAGTCAGGCTATGAAGGGGTAAGGGTATAAGGGGTAAGACTATACGGAGGTGATACTATCATAAGGTAAAGGTATAAAGGGGTAAGCCTCTAAGGCTACAAGGGTACAAAGCCACAAGGTATAAGCGGGTAAGGGTATACGGCTATACGGTCTATCTATATATAATGCGAAGTGTGTGATGGTCTGTTTCCCGGTTAGGGATGCAACGGTTAAGGTTATCCACCGCTTGACCGTATGCAGTTAACCGGTCTAAAACGAAAACCGGTCTAAGAGAAAATACGATATAACGAAAACCGGGGTGAGAGAAAATGCGATATAACGAAAACCGGTCTAAGAGAAAATGCGATATAACGAAAACCGGTTTAGGAGAAAGTACGATATAACGAAAACCGGAGTGAGAGAAAATGCGATATAACGAAAACCGGTATAAGAGAAAATACGATATAACGAAAACCGGTTTAGGAGAAAGTACGATATAACGAAAACCGGGGTGGGAGAAAATGCGATATGACGAAAACCGTTCTTAGAGAAAAAGCGGTTTAACGGAAACCGGTCTGATATCGGTAACCGTTTTTCTTATCCAGAATTAGAAAAGAGAAGACTATTACGATCAAGACCATATTCTTACTGTATCTTAGAACACTGCAGTCATTCGTACATTGTTGTTACTAATTATCTCATTACGCAAGCGAAGTATTATGCAATATACAACGGTTATCGATCCATCGGTTATCGTTTTTATCACATCGGTTTTCGGTTAGTCGTATTTTCTCTTAGACCGATTTTCGGTTAATCGTACTTTCTCTTAGACCGGTTTTCGTTGTATCGTACTTTCTCCTAAACCGGTTTTCGTTATATCGCATTTTCTCCTTAACCGGTTTTCGTTA